TTAGAATTTATAATCCCTATTCCATGATGATATATCTTTATCTTTAGATAGGTTTTCTCCTCAAAAAGCATTTTATCAAAAAAAAAATCGATTTAAATAAAAACAATTGATTTAAAAAAAAATCATTGATTTTTATCCACCCTGGCACGTTGAGTCTCATAGTCTAGCATGTGATGCTACAAGCACACACCTCAATAGATATGCCTGGATTTTAATGCATGCAGATGACCTATCTCCCCTCTTCCTCCTCCCACTGGAAGAAAATCATCCCTGGATTCAGATTGCTAGGACTAGAATTTTTGTTCATTTTGATCGCTCATTCAAAACCAGTGTCTAGAAAACCTCATTCATCCTGAAAGTACTACTACTACTTTCCCAATGGGTGTTTTTGCCCTTGCAAGATGCGGAATACTGATATCTTAAATAGGGACAGTATTACTACTTTTTCTGTATTTTGGATGAATGTTAATTTGACCCCCCAAAAAGGTGTTTCTTCCTCTTTCAGCAAAGTCTGAGAGGTATTTGAGTCCTAGGCTGCTGCAGATTGCACGCACAAAGCTGTTTTTCGTTTCTGAGCTGCTACAACTGTCTGATGAAGTTTAATGGAGAAAATGTTTGATTTAATTCCTACAAGTCTAATAATTTCACTACAAAACTTTATCGGGTAAATTTAGGTACTCTTCAATGTGGAAATAAGAATCTCTTATGTCAACAGGAGCCAGGTATTCCCATTGCCTTTTGGACTTTGCTGGAAGAGGGAATTGCAGTGGAAATATAAATACTGACTTTTTTATAAGTTTTTGGGAAACTGAAATCCATAGATGTTTTACATTAACATTTGATAAATGTTGAAAACATATTAGAATAAAGGAAATGTCAATCTAAAATTTGATCATTTTGATAACTCTTGCTTATCTCTCACCCCGAAAATGCTTAATTATAGTATGAATTTAGAAGCCTGTATTTTTGTGATCACAGAGATTAATCCTCCATGCCAGTGGTCCCCAACCTTTTTTGTCTGGCGGGCGCCAGACAACGAGCCATGGAGGATCGTGGCGGTGGACAAGCATCCGCCGAAATGCCGCCGACAAGCGGCAGCGTCAATAGGCATTGCCACCGACAAGCAGCAGCATCCAAATGACTGCTTCTCGGCGGCATTTCGGCGGGTGCTCATCTACTGGCCAGGCACCTCGTTGGGGACCCCTGCTCCATACTGATTGAAATGCAGCATTACAATATTGTAGTTGATAGTAGCAGGGTTCTTATTGTGTACCACATAGTGTTTTCATTGACCACCTATCACTACAGCCTCTAAAAACAAGACCACATTTCTTCTGTGGTTACTGTAGTGCTTAGTGATGTGGGAAAAACGAATGTTAAAATAAACTTGTTTAATGTGACTGCCATTTAGTTATGGCCTTCCATTTTGTGTCTGCTGCTTTATTTCCTCTCCCGTTGTGTAACAGTTTACATTTTATCAGCATCAAATCTTCCCTTGTTGTCTGCAGCACACATTGCTCTAGCTCAGGGGTAGGCAACCTATGGCACGCGTGCCAAAGACAGCACGCAAGCTGATTTTCAGTGGCACGCACACTGGCCACCCGTCCGGGGGGATCTGCATTTTAATTTAATTGAAGCTTCTTAAACATTTTTAAAACCTTATTTGCTTTACATACAACAATAGTTTAGTTATATATTATAGACTTATAGAAAGATACCTTCTAAAAATGTTAAAATGTATTACTGGCACACAAAACCTTAAATTAGAGTGAATAAATGAAGACTCGGCGCACACTTCTGAAAGGTTGCTGACCGCTGCTCTAGCTTCTCTAAGGCCTGATCTATGCTAGAAAGTTTTACCAATATAGCTACTTCAGTTAAGTGTGCGTGTGGGGTTGGGAAATAAAATCACATCCCTAATGAACATAGCTATGGCAGCAAAATCCCTAGTGTAGATGCAGTTCTACTTGCAGAAAAGTCCATTTGTCGGTATAGCTTATTCTGTTTGGGGAACTGGTTGAAACTATACACACACAGAAACTGTTGCTGGTATAAGCTGTCTCCATTAGGAGAATTTACCATTATAGCTCCTCTGGTATATCTCTAGTGGCAAGCCCTTTTAAGTGTAATCCAGGCCTATGTCACTTTGCAGCATGGTGCATTAATTTAAATCAAAGTGATCACTGATATTAATCATGATTTAAATTAGCAATCACAAAACTTTGATTTAAATTTTAAGTGTTTTGCATTTGTCTCTCACCCCGAAAATGAGTTATCTTTAGTTGATAATCTTTAGAACATTAATTCCCAACTAAATATAGCCCTTTCACTAAATTTAGTGGTTTTTTTGGTAACAGGGTATGCACTATGTCTCTATGCATTTATTGAAGCAGTTATGACTTACATTTATTCATATTCTTATTTTAAATATTAGAGTATGTTAGAAAATAGTGAATGATGCATTTCTCATTTGCTATGTGGTTGTTTTTTTACCTGTGATTTGTATCTTTCTCTATTTGGATTGAAATTTAAATTAAAATTGTACAAAACCAGCATTTTTAAATGGTTAAATAAAACTACCTCATGCTGGATATGTAAGGAAAAATTGTATCAAAATGTTTTACGTTTAAAACAGATTTTTTTTTTAAATGAAGGAAGTATCTGTAGTTAGTTACTTAATTAAACTGATTGATTGTTTCCGCTCACCATGTCCTTCAAGATTTTAGAAGAAGTAGGTATCATCCTTTCTCAACTAGTTATTATTCATTGATTACGAGGAAAACAAGTTTTCTTGCTTTTTTAACTCACAATTGGTTTCTTAAAAATGAACTAGTTAAACAAACTGAAATGAAGAAAATACTTTCTCTGCACCTACAGAAGAGGCTATTGCTGTCAAAAGCTCATTTAGCACTTCAACAAACTTTGGTTCTAGCTGCTTAGCAAGTGACTTCCACCAGTTCAGTGGTTTGACTTTCTTTTAAAACTCGAAAGCAAACATGTACTGCTTGATTTTTTTTTAATGTAATTTAAATGTTTTTAGATTATAGTAAAGGTAGGCCTTAAAATAAATTGTCACAATTTCAGATTTAATTTCAAATTGATTTATCTTTTAAAAAACAAACCTATATTTAATTTTATTGAGAAAACCAGTTTAAACCACACAAAAAAATTTTTTTCTTTAGTTGATTTATATCCCCAGTGCTTTGCTGTTCAGGTCAGTCCTATTAAGTGCTTGCTACTACTTCAGTTTTGATACTTTCTGTATGTTTGTTTAGTGTCGAATTTTCACTAAAGAAACATCTAACAGACATGAAAATTATGGGGAGGTTATTGGATTTTGGAATTTAGTCATTCAGAATCTTTGAAAAGTGGAAACTCCCAAAGATAGACACGTGGCTAGCAGAAAATGCTTCTGCCAGAGGCCTGACAAATGCATCGCTCCTATGAAAGAAGCAGTTTTTCAGATCACCATTTATGAATCACTGGTAACACTGATTTGTACTAGCTCTAATAGCTCTCTAGAGAACAGCTGCTACAGTCAGACAGCAGTTGAGTTGGGGAAGAGTAAAAGTGTAATCCAAATGTGATTTCCAAAATCTGATATCTTGTGACTCTCAACTGAAATAAATCACATGCTCAGATTTCCATTGGTGTCTAGAATTACCTCTCTCAAATGATTTATGAAGTATCTTGCCCAGAAATAGTCATTGTATCTCAGACCAGGCAAAAATTGAGGCCATTTACCCAGTAGAGTAGTTGGGATGCTGAAATCATCCTTTACTTTCACCAGTCTGTCTTTGCTGTCGAGGTGTTGGGTCCATAACTGGTGGTGATAGTCAGCACCTCCTTCAGGGATGACACGGTACAATTCTCCCTTAAGCATACATTTGTGAGTCCCGTGCTCAGAAATGTTTTTCTTTAAAAATACTGCAAATACTTGACTACTCATTATTTAACGTTGAATATAAACAAACTCCTTTATAAAAGCATATGGGGTGTATTGTGGGTCACATTTACAGGTAATGAATCTAATACGGAAGGTGTACTAGAGATCTTTATGAAAACAGGGCTCAAATGGAGTGGAATGCCAAGCAGGAGGGTGATACACTTAATGACAGAATGGGTGTTTGTCAGAATAGAAGATCTTTCCTTTTGATTTTCTGTGAATATGCTTTAGGTACAGTGGGAGCTCTCACTGACTACATGCTGGACACCCTCTTCTGTTCTCCCATTTGCATTCACTTTTCTGTTTGGTGATAGGGGTATTGGGAAAGAATGATGATGGTGCAGTCCAGTTTCAATCTTGTTCTAACATATTAATCAATTGTCAGTTACCATTTGTTAAAACATGACTGAAAGTTAAAGTCTAGGCAAACCCTGTTAAAGGAATAGGGGGGTAGTGATTCTGCCCCCTTTTCAGCAATTGATAAATGAGGGAGGGAGATGCTGGATATCCCCCAAAAAGTCAGGGTGGAGTGGGGTGGTGTATTACCTAGGGTGGATAGTGAAAGAGGTAGCTATTTAGTTTACTAGGTTTCTCACCAGGATGCCGCTTGTGCATCTGATGGGGGCTTGTGCAGAGCACCATCTTTGGTATTGGCTTTTGCTCGTATATGTGCCTAATACATTTTTTAAGCCTCAAAAACAGTTAACCACATATCCATAACCACAATATCTGCTTTTACACTTACCTGGTGTTGGCTGTGTTCTCTTTATTTTGTTTACTTTAATTCCTAGTAATGATTTTAAGTCATTGAGCTGTTTTGAAAACAATGGGATGAAAAATTCTGACAAACTTTAAAAGATAACAGCAACTTTTTTTAAAATTATGGAATAATTTGCTCCTGGCTCACGTCAGCAGTTGTTCTTTGGTGAAAATCAGGTTTTATATCAGAAATGCAGCCTGCTCCATGACTAGGTTGCAGATGCTGCTGTAATAGTATAAGCAAAACTTGTCTTTCGTCTTTAATGATGCATCAATTTTTTTCCGTATTTGACAGGTTATAAAGAACTTTTATAAGTTCACATTTGAGACGTACATAATTTATGATCTAATCTTCATATAAGGAATCTGCGGTCATGTCCAGCTGTTCTGTACCTTCTAGACCCACAGGTATATATGTATGTGTGTGTGTGTGTGTATAGCAGAAGGCCAGCTAATTAAAAATAAAGAGGTTCATTAGAGAGTGTAAATTGTCTCAGCTCTGTGTAATCCATCCACAAGGTTGAGTTGTGAATTAATTCAGATACTTTGTTGATATCCTTGCATAATAGCCAGTATAGTGACAGAAAGTGAGCTTTGTGAAGCAGTTCTGCGCTTGATTAGTTTTGTCTTTTTGTGAGTGAAGTCAGAAACTGCTTGCTGCAAGAATAGATTTCTTGTCACACAAAGGTCAGAAGAACTCAAGTTTGCTCTTCAGCAAGAGCGTGGGGGAAGAGAAACCCAACAGTAATAAGAAAGAGGCTAAACAGTTAGCACTGCTGTGTAGTTCAAAGGAAAGGTAAGTGGTATGAGTATTTGAAGGGAATGGATGATTTTAAAGATTTTTACCTCTTAGTTTGCATTATTATTATTATCTTGGATCAGCGGTGCTTTCAATGTAATATAATTTATCAAGTGGAGGATTGGAGATATTTCTAGTGGTAGCTGTTCAAGAGAAGCTTTGCAACAAATGAGCCATTCAGCTGTTGGTTAGTTGGTCCTTTCTGGAACAGAAGCTACCACAGTAACATGATGGATGTTTAAGATTTGCCATTATAAATCCATATTTCTCAGGCACAAACTCTAGAATAGAAGCCACCTATGTTTCTTTAATGTGAAGCCACTAGCAGAATATATTATTTAAAATGGTATTTAATAATATTTAGGTAGTGACACCAAACAAAAGGGTTGAGACATCCAACATTAAAACTAACACTCCACTCACAATGTTCAGTTTCTGGCTTTTTTTCTGTTTAAACAAAATTAAAGTTGAGACAGAAAGAGTTATTTATGTTAGACCATAGTCCCGTTTTTCTGTTAAGTGCATTATCAGAGAGAGACTCAGCAAGATCCTGGAGTGTCACCTGGAACTGGGATACCACTGACCCAGCAGCCTGGGCTCCCTCTCACACTCTGCTGTTGTGACAAGCTGCAAAGCCCTCCAAGCTTGCACTTTCACCAGCATTCACACAGGTAGGAACACACCCAGCTGCAGTCACATGCAGGCTCTCTAACCACCAGCCTAGGACCCCAGAGCACTACTGTACTGCCCTGGTCAAATCTGGCCAGTATTTGGGTTTAACACTCAGTCCGCCTCTCCCTCAATGTAAAGAGGAGCATGCACACTTGTGGTAACCAAGCTGAGATTTTCCCCAGACACCGTAGTCCAACACACACTGGTTTGGATTAAAATATAAAATAAGTTTATTAACTACAAACGGATAGATTTTAAGTGATTATAAATGATAGCCAACAGATCAAAGCGGATTACCTAGTAAATAAACAAAACCGCAAACTGAGTTTAACATGCCAGATAGATAGGATATGAATTGGCAAATTCTCACCCTGAGTGATAAACGGGCTGGCAGATTCTTAAGGCACAAACTGCCTTGGCTTCGCAGCTTGGGTTTCCCAGGTTTTCATACACAGGCTAGAAATCCCTTTTAGTCTACGACCATCACTTCCCCCCTGTTCGGTCTTGTTCAGTCTTTATTCCTCAGGTGTTTCCAGGTATGTTGTTGTGGGGAGAATGAGGTCCCCTCATGATGTCATTTTCCCCCTTTTATATCTTCTCCCCACTTGCTGGAAAGCTCTTTTGCTGTGACCTGGGTCAGACAGTTCCCACTGTGTAGTGCTATCTCTGAGAGGTTTCTGTTGTATATAGTTCCTGGGGTAATCCTTGTGCGCATTTCCTCATAACCATTAACATTGTTTGGCCTTTTTATTGTTGTACCTGAAAGGCTGCTTGTGGGTGTTTTCAACCTCACATGTTTCAGTAACACATACATAGCCAAACTTAATAACTTCACATACGATGATAGCACATACAATCCAACAACACATTAATGTCTAGCAGATCAAGACTTTTAGAATATCTCACAAAGCATACTTTGTACAAAGCATATCCTAATTACATGACAGTGGTGAATATTGGGGTGCCAGGGTGTCAGTCACATCCACATACTGTAGACAGATGTCCTTTTTGTATTTTCCAAAGCTCTGGAAGACTACCTGAGGGGAAGAATGGAGAAAATAAGAGGGGAAAATCTTGTATAGTTCTAAATTGGCTTTGAGTTAATATTGGACTCCATGGGCTTTCATTTGCTGATTCATCAATGATTTATGGTATAGAGAGTAAACTTATGAAGTTTGCACACAATACCAAGCTGGGGGGCGGGGGGTAGGTTGCAAGTTCTTTGGAGGATAGGATTTTAAACTCAAAATGATCTGGACTAACTGGAGAAATGGTCTGAAATAAATAGGATGAAATTCAATAAGGACAAATGCGAAGTACTCTACTTAAGAAGGAACAATCACTTGCACACATACAAAATGGGAAATGACTGCCTAGGAGGGAGTACTGCAGAAAGGGATTTGGGGTCATAATGGATCACTAGCTAAATATGAGTCAACAGTGTAACACTGTTTCAAAAAAGCAAACCTCATTCTGGGATATATTAGCAGGAGTGCTGTAAGCAAGACACAAAAAGTAATTCTTCCACTCTACTCTGCGCTGATTAGGTCTCAGCTGGAGTATTGTGTGAAGTTCTGGGTGCCACGTTTTGGGAAAGATGTGGACAAATTGGAGACAGTCCAGAGAAGAGCAACAAAAATGATTAAAGGTTTAGAAAACATGACCTAGGAGGGAAGATTTTAAAAATTGGGTTTGTTTAGTCTGGAGAAGAGAAGACAGTAGGGGAACATAACAGTTTTTAAGTACGCAAAAGGTTGTTACAGGGAGGAGTGAGAAAAAAAAATTCTCTTTAACCTTGAGGAATCAATGATCTGGGGGTTAGATTGGACCTTAGGAAAAACTTTCTAGCTGTCAGGATAGATAAGCACTGGAATAAATTGCCTAGGGAGGTTGTGAAATCTCCATCATTGGAGATTTTTAAAGCAGGTTAGACAAAGGCCTGTCAGGAATGGTCTAGATCAGGGGTCGGTAACCTTTCAGAAGTGGTGTGCCGAGTCTTCATTTATTCACTGTAATTTAAAGTTTTGTGTGCCAGTGATACATTTTAACATTTTTAGAAGGTCTCTTTCTATAAGTCTATAATATATAACTAAACTATTGTTGTATGTAAAGTAAATAAGGTTTTTAAAATGTTTAAGAAGCTTCAGGGGGCCAGTGGCCAGGACCGGGCAGTGTGAGTGCCACTGAAAATCAGCTCGTGTGCCGCCTTCTGCACACGTGCCATAGGTTGCCTACCCCTGGTCTAGATAATACTTTTTTTTCCTTCCTTCAGTGCAGGGGACTGGACTAGAAGATCTCTCGAGATCCCTTCCAGTCCTGCAATTCTATGAGTATTCACCACCATGGGGTATGTCACCTAGGGCCCTTGTCAGAACAGTTCCTATCATGAAAGGAGCATTCAATTGTTGGAACAGAAATGGAGTCAGTAAATTGTTGGGTTCTTTCTCTGATACAATATTAGCAGATTCTGGGAGGGGTACATTGCTAGAATTTAATTCCACTCCTGGTGTACAGTGATTCTGAATTATAGATTGGCTTATGTTAAATTTCTGATATGATAAAATACCTTTTGTTCTTTCTGACAAAACAACGTGAAAGTAAGGAAGGTCTCTCTGCTTAGTAAGATTTTTGGCTCTGTATTGTAAACTCTGGGTTCTCTCCACTTCTAATCTTTTCAGACCCAATGGCTGTCCCACCGTCCTACTGTGACCTGGGGAAATCCGCCAGGGATGTATTCAACAAAGGATATGGTAAGCAGCGTGATCATATGTTGATGCTAATAAACTTACATTTCTTAGGTGCCTTAACAAAAGTAATAACGCTATTTACATATGTATTCACAGAAATAATATTTTTTGGTAATAATGTGACCAAATAAGTACAAGAGAAGGAGGAAAAAATATTTAGTGCTACTTACTCAATATATTAACCCACCATAAATGTGTATCAAACAAACTAGAAAGGAAACTGTTTTGAGTCTTGGTCAGAGAGATGCCACAAAATGTAATTTGAATAGTGAGAAGTGTTCCAGTGTCCTCCGCCTTTTATAGAGGATGCAGTGCTTCTCACCTTCTTTATTATATACAGGAATATGTATAATTATGTCCAACCCCTCGATGTAAGTTGCCATAGCAGACCATTGGCAACAGACGATCCCCTCAGGTAGAATGCTCCTATGTTGTTTGAGACAAATTATGTGTAATGTTGGACACAGTACAAATAATTTAGAGCACTTTAAACTGGAAAATGTTATTTTAAAAGAAAACCAGAAAGTCTCTATAGGGGAGGAACTCTCTGCTTGAACTGTTCTCTTGTTTGTAATTCTTGATAATTTACATAAACAATGGCTTAATGCGGTATTTACATTGTTTGTGGCATAAAACTAGCACTATATAGTTGATAAAGAAGTGGCTTTTTTCTATATATGTATATTTATGATTTTCCTGGATCTTCATACTGGATTTCTTCCTAATTGATGATGATTTCTCCATCTGCTGTAAGAATTTTTAAAGGAAAATTTCTAATATCTGTCTCTGTATTGGGGGAAGTGGTAAAAGTGGTGATCTTCCAATTAATAGTTGACCTTTGGTTTGATATTTTTTCTTTTGCATCTGGGAATTTTAGATTTATATGTTATATAAATTCATTTGAATAACTGCTTTGAGAGATACAAAGATACAGTCCATCTTGTGGGGATAGCTCTCTGTATTTTCATTGCCCGTGACTGATTTAAATTATGATCAGTTATGGGAATCCTGAGACTGACAGTACAGTAATATGTCATGAATTCTGAAATCCTCTATTTTGTGAAATTTTGTTGTTAAACTGTGTGTGAGTGGGTGCGTTTCCCAAACTGCTCTAAACAAAGTTCACACACTGTAAAGTCAAAAACTCACAATTTCTCAGACTGGTCTTTGTTAACAAAGACCAAACTACATTTTGAACAATTTCAGCTCAAGCTTTCTTTCTAGTGTTAGCTGCTTCTAGATTTTCAGCCTAAAGAGAGCGCAGATGTTGTTCTGGGATGTGTAAACAAAGGAATATCCTGCAGGAATAAGGAAATGATATTATCTATGTATGTGGTATTGGTGAGACTATGACAAAAAATATGTTGACAAATTGGACAGCTTTCAGAAAAGAGCTACACAAATTATTTGAGAGCTGGAAGACCTGCCTTGCAATGAGAGACTTAAACATGTCCGTTTATTTAGCTTCTAAAAGAGAAGGTTAAAAGGTGGTTTGATCCCAGTCTACAAGTATCTAAATGGAGAAAAGATATCTGATGACAAATGTCTAATGAGATCCGTTGAAGCTAAACAAGTTCAGATTTAAAATAAGGCACAAATATCTAACAGTAAATATGATTAACCATTGGAACAATTTATCCAGGGGTAATCACTTTAAGTCTCTTAAGTAAAGATTGGATGTTTTACTAAAAATATGCCCTAGCTCAAGTAGATGTAATTCTTGCCTCAAGTATGTAACTAGATGAAATTCTCTGGCCTGTGTTATGCAGCAGTTCAGACAGATGATCATAATGTTCCCTTCTGATCTTAAAATGTATTTATCCAATTCAGGAGTGCTCAGCCCACACCCTAGTTGTACTCTAAAATAGACACTTCTGCCTCCCTTACATCCCAATGGATAATGAGCCACCTACCTTGGTGAGTCATCAGAAACCACTTAATACTTTCCCAGGAAGATCAGCACCTAGTAACAGGGTGGGCTGTTTTGAGCAAACACTCCCAACCTGTTTGATTCCGGAGTAAGTGTCTATTATATTCTTGTTATAGAAACTTGTGAATTTTGCTGTTTCAGGATTTGGAATGGTCAAGTTAGAGCTGAAGACCAAGTCTTCCAGTGGAGTGGTGAGTACTGAAGACTTTCAATGACATCAGTGTAGCAAAGATGAGAGTAAACCTCTTTAGTAACAAAAGTAATTCACTGGTATTTACTACTTTTCTGTTTCATCTCATTTTAATGCCTGGAGGCGAGTGGTGTGCTACTAGAATGATGTAAAGAATTGGTGTCCCGGTATTTTCTCTGTGATCTACACAGACTTTCACATAGCATACTGTCATTATGTTAGGATTTGCATAGGTACATTTGTTCACTCTTCCGTCTTTGTGGTGTCTTCAGAATGGGTTTGCATTGTCATGCTTCCGGTCGTGTGTGTTCTCACTCACTACCTTTTTATAGCTAAATTTTTGTTTCTGGCTCACATCTCTGGTTATGGATGCAGGCCAGATCATCCACTACTATTAGTCTGGATTCACAATCCTGCATTAACTATTTATCCAAAGGACTCGAGACACCAAAAACCTTTAGCTAAATGAGGTTTTGGATGAAGTTGAGAGTGGGCTGGCTGGCTTTGCAAAAGCTATACTCCCAAGTTCCCACCATCAAAATATTGCCAGAGACGTTCGCTTGGTTTAAAGGGAGTGTTTGAATCTTTGACACCATTGGTGATCTGGGGGACATAATTTAGCTGGAGTTTTATTGTGCTTGGGCTTGCATTTCCAGTTCTGTTCAAAATGGGTTGAATGCTGCTTCTTTATGCTTATGCTGCTAAGCTTAATAAAGCATAGCATTTCTATAGCATCTATTACATGAGGCTTTGACAGTATTTTATATGCATTACTGAATTAAATCTCACAGGATCTCTGAAAAGTACAGAATATCATAATCCCCATTTTACAGAAGGGGAAAATTATTAGTTCCCCATGATCTCACAGGAAGCCTGACAGAGCGAGGAATAGAATCCATATTTTTTACCTTTACCCTCAAGAATATCTCCCCACTAGGCATGCTTATTATTGCATGGTCTTTTGCACTCCTGGGCATGCATGTCTACAGTGCCATTTATGCTTGCTTCACTCACATTACTTTACTTTTCAACCTCTACCGTGCCCATATTTGCTTCAGCTCTCCCTTCTGGTTGTACATTCACACCTCACAAATGCACAAACATTTTAATTCATTCTTATAGCAGCAGGTAGCTTGTTATTTTGTAGTTTGTCACAGTTAAGTGGATTACCACAGTGCAATAGCAAAGATATGGGGAATACAAGTTTTTTATTGTGACTGAAATGAAATAGCTCTGAAGTATGAAATATCAGGGTTTTTTTAGGCAATTTGTTTAGCAATGCATTGTAATTTTCAAATGCTAAGAATATTATACTGAGGCTGTTGTGTTAAATAATGGCCAGAATGTATACAGAGAACATCCAAATCTGACTAAGTTTGCTGATTGATCAAAATCCTTAATTTCTCAAATGTTTTCTCCCCTTTCCATGCAACTTTGGTTTTGGCTACTTATTCAGCTGGTAAGAATAGTGATTGTTCTTGTGTATTTCTTCCTGTTGTCACTTTCTAATGGGGTTTCCTACTTTTACATACTTTGCTCTGGACTGTGACACATTCACATTCCTAATTTATTTGGGAGGTGAAGGAAAAATGGTAACTGACATGAGGCGTTCCTGTGTGCATAGCTTGCACTCCACTATAACCCAATTGTATAACACGGGTATTTAAAGTCTGTGTCAAAGAACCATAGAAACACAACAAAAATAAGAGGAAAGGAATCTAGAAATGATGTGGTATAGATACAATTTTCTCTTATTTCAGAATCATGATTTAGCATTTATAATATCAGTATTTTGCATTAACAATGAAAGAACAGCAGGCTTGTGTGGGATGGAAGTGAGGTGGGGACCAAAATGAGGGATGTGCCACATAATTGGGTACAAATGGAAGCCACATTCTGTCTTGATATAACGGCAAGTAGTTTTACCGTGTGTTGAGTTCTCTTTAAGTTTGAGGTAGAACCTTCATATACAGCTTTCATTCCCTCACAGACTTTTCTTTCAGATGTTGTTGCTTCATACAGCACAACTGGTTCAGTGTCCTACTAAGTGTCTCATGTTTTTCTAAGATGTCTGCCACTGAAAGGTCAGTTATGAAGTTGAGCTTGAGGACTGGTTCAGACTGGTATATGAAATTAAGCCAGTCTGGCATTCTGAGGCAGAGGATTTCAGAAATGCTCTCACGGGACATGATCCAATCACAACTCTGCTTTTGACAGTCTAGAGATGAATGGTAACAAATGTTGACTCTGCGCTGTCCTCTCTCAGAAGGAGATCCAGTTCTAACTGCTAGGGAAATCCTTCTGCTTTTGATCATATGACAGCAGGATTCTTTCTCTTCACTGTGTTTAGTGAAAAGGGCAGACAAGATCTTTTTCTTGTCCTTGATCTGAGAAATCTGTTCAGCCATTTAGATTGATGATCGGCATTAAGATCAAACGAGAGATTTTTAAAAGTCAGTTATAGATTGGTCTCTTTAAACATAATCTCACAGAAGTAACAAATCAGAGATTTGTGCACTTACATTCGGAGCCTGAAAACTCTGTTTAAAGGCTAATCAACCACAGAAGTCAGTTTCCTGATCTCGATCCTATATTTTCTTTTGATGTCTGGATGGATTTATTTTAAGAGAGTTGTGTGCTGTTGCAGCATGGCAAAATCATAAAGTAAGTGCCATCTTGCATATTGTGACAGAAATGTGTTTTTGGTAGTACCCCTCTGGTACTTTTAAAACTATTCCAAGTCTGAGTTTCCTGAAACTTATAGCACATAGCATTGGCCTGGAAGTGTGGAAATAGAGTATGTGCCATCTAAGAATACAAGTTCTCAGAGGCTTGGAACAAGCCTAATCTTTACAATTAGGGTTCCAAAGATGGGAACTGAAATTGTCTTTTGTCAGACACTTCTCATAACTTGCCTGATGTGCATTATAACTATTATCAGAATGTACCATACAGTTAACATTTTTAATGTGTTCATATGTTCACACAGCATTTACTGAATTAGTTACGAGAGGGTTAGACAGTAGATGCGGACAGTTGACAAGGAGAGGCATAAAGTCTTGATAATAAGAAACTCTACTGTATGGGGAACTGGCCAGCATCTGGCTGGCTGTAGGCAGCGTAGGAAGATGTGGGTTTTGAGCTATGTTTTACAGAAGTATCTGCGAGGTAGAGAAAAGTTCAACAGCTGGTGTGGCAGCATCAAAGAATGGACCTCACAAAGGAGGGTAAAGAATAGAGAACATAGGAGGAGGTCAGAATTGGAAGAGCAGATGAAGCCAGTAGAGTATAAAGAGAAAAGAGATTGGAGAAATAGAAGGGAGAGTCTTGACAATTCCTTTCTTTACTACAATGTAAACCAATTTGCCTGGTACTAAAGTTAGGCTTACCTGCCTGTAATTGCCAGGATCATCTCTGGAGCCCTTTTTATCTATAATCCAGTCATCTGGGTCCAGGTATTATGATGAAAAGCATGAGGGTGTAAAATGATTAAACAAATGGTTTAAAGCAGCAGTTCTCAGCTAGCATCTTAATGCTACTATATAAATCTATGATATATCCACACCTTGACTACTGCATGCAGTTCTTGTTGTCCGATCTCAAAAAAATATATATTACAATTGGAAAATGTTTCGAGAACAACAAAAATGATAGTGGTATGGAACAGCTTCCATTGGAGAGATTAAAAAGCCTGGGACTGTTCAGGTTAGAAAAGAAACTAAGGGGAAGTGGGGGTTGATAAAATCATGAGCGGTGGAGAAAGTGAATAGGGACAAGAACCAGGGCTCATCCTATGAAATTAACAGGCAGCAAAGGAAGTACTTCTTGACACAATGCACAGTCAACCTGTGGAACTTATTACCAGGGGATGTTGTAAAGGTCTCAAGTGTAACTGGGTTCAATAAAAAATTAGACTAGTTCATGGAGAATGGGACCATCAATGACTATTAAACAAGGTGGTCAGGGACACAACCCCACGTTGTGAGTATCCCTAAATGTCTGACTGCTAGATGCTGGGACTGGACGATGGGATGGATCACTTGATAATTCCCCTGTTCGGTTCATTCCCTCTGTAGCATCTGGCAGTGGTCATTTTTGGAAAACAAAATACTGGGCTAGATGGATATAGTATGCCCATTCTTATGGTCTTATCAAACTTTCTAGGGGGACTCAGCAAGCCTTCCCACTCAATCATGGGGTTGCAATACCATCTGCTCAAATTTGGCCCGGCCACCCTCTGTCGTGACAGGGGGTGGCTGGAACAAATCTGAGTGAGTGGCATTGCGACATGGCACATGGGGGTTGTGCTCTTTTCTGAAATTGAGAAATACTGCCTTGGAAAACTTTGTGGCTATTAAGGTATGTGCTTTTAAAAGGTTTCCTAGTCTATGCAGAGTTAGACAGCAGGGTCAATGGACTGATTTTAGTTAAAATAGAATCCTCTTTAGTGGAATCAATGTATTAATGTCCCCAGTTCCATCATTAGAATGTCACATTTTGCAAGGGGTGTGCTCCAAATTTAAAAAAAAAAAAAAAAAGTGGGGGGCACGCATCAGAAAAAGTTGAGAACCATTGGTTCAAAGGGATGGGACTCATCAAGTAGAAATTAAATTTAATTAAGTAATGTGTGTTAATTCTTGTCTGGTGTTTTTGCCAGGAATTTACCACCACTGGTTCCTCCAACACAGACACAGGCAAGGCCTCAGGCAGCCTAGAGACCAAATACAAGATCAAGGACTATGGACTTACATTCACCCAGAAATGGAACACAGACAACACCCTGGGGACAGAGGTGTCCATGGAGGATAAGGTAAGAGAAAGTGGAAATTATGAAAGCAATTCAGCAAGTCAGGTAAAAGTACTGTGTTGAGAATAAACCAATAGAAGATACAAATTATAGGAGAGCTGTGGTAAATTAGGACTAACTAAAATATAGAATAGACGGGAATACCTCAGTTCATTCTTTTTGTACAGTATGTGGGAGTTTTCATATAATTTTGTTTCTGAATTTGTTGTTCTTAAAGGTGGAGTTGTAGTGCAGACAGGTAGAGCAGACAAATGTCCTCACACAATACTGTACATCATCATTCAGACTTGCAGCACGACTGCTGTTGCAGATGGGCATTCTGAGTATTCATATTGTATTTTAATAAATTGTGAGGTTATTTTCTGATATGTAAATATATCCATTAAGGACTAGAGGAGTCCTTGATTTTCATTTATGACCTAAGCCAGGTTTTAAATCTAATCTTTCAAAAATGAAGCAGTTGTCCCATTTGATTTGTACTGTAATTTGACCCTACATACTTATTAACTTACATTACAAAACAAATATAGCAGCGGGTGGAGGAGGCACTTTTATTCTAAGGTATGGAAAGATGCACAATTGAGTCTATTCTCTGCCTCAAAATTGCCTCCAAGCTCTGCTAGTGGAGCCAGCTGCTCTTGTAAACAGCATGAGGTGGATAGCTGAAGACGAAGGTAGTTGTGAATTTTTAATGTGCGTACAGACTAGACAAATCTGTAGATCTGGAAAACTCACCAAAGCCTGTAAATTGCAAATACTGAATACCTCCAAATCTTAATTTTTTCCTTAAATTACTGTGACATGAAGTGCAGTAAACTAGCTGTAATTCAATATTAAGGTTATAAGAAGAACCATTCAGATACTAGGAAAAGCTATAAATTAAAGTTAACTTGGTCATGATCCATTTATGAACTATTTTCTATCCTTTCCCTTGTTAAAATAAACAGAGGATTACTGTGTCATGGACATACGATGTTTGTGACAGGGTCCCTGGGATGCAACCTTGAGTGTGAGACTGCTGAGCCCTCTGTCCCACCAACCTGGGCTGCCTCTTACACTGTGGTGCTGTGTCAAGCCCAAACCTCTGGCAGGTACTGCACTTACACAGGCATCCACCCAACTGAGTTACATGAATGCTCTCCCAGCCACTCATGAATCATCAATAGGAAGGCTCCACCAGTTCCCTTGCTCCCCAGCCTTGCACCCCAGAACTATACCATCTTGAACTGGTCCAAAGCCTGGCCAGTGTAAATTTGTTACCCAGTCCACTCCTCCCTCAATGTGGAGAGGAGACACACTAGTCTTTGTAAACTGAGTTGAGATTTCCCAAGCACTTCAACCAAAACACATTTTTTTAAGTAGAATAGAAAACAGATTTATTAACTACAGAAACATAGATGCTAAGTGATTATAAGTAGCAAGCATAAAGGCCAAAGTTGGTTATCTAAGAAATAAAAACAAGTTAAGTTCTGCAAATTAAACAGGATTTGAATCAAGCAGTGTAGATGGTACAAACAGGTTTCAGTTCCTCAATACACGGACTGGAACTCTTTCCCAGCCTGGGACCCTCTTCCCCCATTCAAAGTCTTTGTCCTCCAGACGTTTCTTCAAAGTATTGAGATGGGAGGAAGAGAGCCAAGTGATGTCACTTCCCCTCTTTTATGTTTTCTTCCAGCTTGTGAAAGTTCTTTGCTTTGAGGTGTGTTAATCCGCCCCCATGGCGTACATGCTTCCTCTGAGAAATCTCTAGGATAGAGGATTCTTTTCTCAATGGGTATCGATGAGCCATTAACACTGTCTGGCTACTCCATTGTTGTACCTGCCAGATGTGCAGTATGGTGAAGTTAAGCAACCTTACTTTTGTAATTGCCTGGTTTTTAAGTATTTCATCTTGCAAAGTTAAGGTTGCATAACACTGAGAAAGATTAATGACCTAAAAACTAATACACCTCTACCCCGATATAATGCGACCCAATATAACACGAATTTGGATATAATGCGGTAAAGCAGAGCTCCAGGGAGGGGGGGCTGCGCGCTCTGGCAGATCAAAGCAAGTTCGATATAACACGGTTTAACCTATAATGTGGCAAGATTTTTTTGGCTCCCAAGGACAGAGTTATATTGGGGTAGAGGTGTATATTCATCAATACAAGGGGGTTATTTAGATGTTGTCTAACCAGCTATGCAAAATATTTAAATAGTTTTTATTAAACAGGTGTGTGAGTGCAAATAAAAGTTAGAATTAAAGTAAAGATTTACTAGTTGGCCAAACAAAGCAAGGTCCTACACTGAGCTCAATATTATTTCTCTGTGCTGTGTAAAACTTCTGAAAACTGCATCCAATTAATTGAAAAATTTCATGGAATGTTGTATTGATTTTTGGTGAAAATCAAAAAACAAGACCTGTTTTCAGCTAAAATCAAGCCCCCAGAGTGCCCGTTTGGTGCAGCAGCAGAAGAAACTCTGGCACCCTCTCCTGCTGCCTAAACACACTAGAGGATAGCATGCTTCATTGCTCATGTAGGCCTCACTCTGTAGATTTGTCTAATTTTTTTAAGTGCAAATGGAGGCTCTGTCTCTGCCATGCCCCTTGAAATATCTTTCTTACAACAAGATTGAGAAGGAAGGAGTGGACAAGTGGTGCTGTCTTTGAGGAGGAAGAACATTAGGGAGTGGGAATGAAGCGTTCTCTCTCCTTTCCCTCTGGCTGTCCCTGAGCAGGAGTATTGTTATGCTGCAGACTGTTAATGGATGCCATCAACAGATGACAGCAACTTTGTCCCCCATTTTCCTGCCATTCAGTGCTCAAATTATCCCCCAAAATAAAAAGTTTCTGGCCATTGACGTCTAGAACATTCTCTGAAATTTCAGAATTGATCAGATGGGGCAATCAAAAGTTTTTGCATTACGTATATACATACATGGAAACAGAGGAAATGCCATCAAGTTGAATGTAAGGCCTCACATGGGAGAGATTAATAAAGCTGGGACTTTTCAGCTTGGAAAAGAGACAACTAAGTCAGGGGAATATTATAGAGGTCTATTAAAATCATGACTGGTGTGGAGAAAGTAAATAAGGAAGTGTTATTTACTCCTCATAACACAAGAACTAGGGAATCACCAAATGAAATTAATAGGCAGCAGGTTTAAAACAAATAAAAGGAAGTATTTCTTTGCACAACACACAGTGAACCTGTAGAACTGTTTGCCACAGGACGTTGTGTATAACAGGTTTTTAAAAAACTAGATTCATAGATTTTTTAATGTCAGAAGGGACCCTTATGATGGTGTAGTCTGACCTCTTGCACAATGCAGGCCACAGAATCTCACCCACCCACTCCTGTAATAAACCCCTAGTCAAAGATCAATTAATTGCCAAAATTAGGCTATCCCATCATACCATCCCCTCCATAAACTTATCAAGCTTAGTCTTGAAGCCAGATATGTCTTTTGCCCCCACTGCTCCCCTTGGAAGGCTGTTCCAGACCTTCACTCCTCTGATGGTTAGAAACCTTCGTCTAATTTAAAGTCCCAACTTCCTGTTGGCTTTATATCCAATTGTTCTTGTGTCCACATTGGTACTGAGCTTAAATAATTACTCTCCCTCCCTGGTATTTATCCCTCTGATATATTTATAGAGAGCAATAAGATCTCCCCTCAGCCTTCTTTTGGTTAGGCTAAACAAGCCGAGCTCTTTGAGTCTCCTTTCACAAGACAGGTTTTCCATTCCTCGGATCATCCTAGTAGCCCTTCTCTGTACCTGTTCCAGTTTGAATTCATCCTTCTTAAACATGGGAGACCAGAACTGCCCAGAGTATTCCAGATGAGGTCTCACGAGTGCCTTGTATAGTGGTACTAACACCTCCTTATCTCTACTGGAAATACCTCGCCTGATACATCCTAAGACAGCATTAGGTTTTTTCACGGCCACATCACATTGACGGCTCATAGTCATCCTGTGATCAACCAATACTGCGAGGTCCTTCTCCTCCTCTGTTACTTCCAACTGATGAGTCCTCAGCTTATAACAAAAATTCTTGTTGTTAATTCCTAAATGCATGACCTTGCACTTTTCACTATTAAATTTCATCCTATTACTATTACTCCAGTTTACAAGGTCATCCAGATCTTCCTGTAGGATATCCCGGTCCTTCTCGGTATTGGCAATACCTCCCAGCTTTGTGTCATCCGCAAATTTTATTAGCACACTCGCAGTTTTTGTGCCAAGGTCAGTAATAATAAGATTGGTCCCAAAACCAATCCCTGAGGAACTCCACTAGTAACCTCCCTCCAGCCTGACAGTTCACTTTTCAGTATGATCCATTGTGGTCTCCCCTTAACCAGTTCCTTATTCATAGATTCATAGATTATAGGACTGGAAGGGACCTCGAGAGGTCATCGAGTCCAGTCCCCTGCCCGCATGGCAGGGCCACCTTTCAGTTTTCATATTGATCCCCATCTCTTCCAATTTAACTAATTCCCTATTTGGAACCATATCAAATACCTTACTGAAATCGAGGTAAATTAGATCCCCTGCGTTTCCTTTGCCTAAAAAAATCTTATTACATTCTCAAAGAAGGAGATCAGATTGGTTTGGCACGATCTACCTTTTGTAAAACCATGTTGTATTTTGTCCCAATTACCATTGACCTCAATGTCCTTAACTACTTTCTCCTTCAAAAAATTTTTCAAGACCTTGCATATTACAGATGTCAAACAGGCCTGTAGTTACCCAGATCACTTTTTTTATTTTCCCCTTTCTTAAAAATAGGAACTATGTTAGCAATTCTCCAGTCCTACGGTACAACCCCTGAGTTTTCAAATTCATTAAAAATTCTTGCTAATGGGCTTGCAATTTCATGTGCCAATTCCTTTAATATTCTTGGATGGAGATTATCTGGGCCCCCCGGTTTAGTCCCATTAAGCTGTTTGAGTTTGGCTTCTACCTCGGATGTGGTAACATCTACCTCCATATCCTCTTCCCATTTGTCATCTTGCCATTGTCCCTAAGCTCCTCATTAGCCTCATTAAAGACTGAGGTAAAGTATTTGTTTAGACATTGGGCCATGCCTAGATTATCCTGAACCTCCACTCCATCCTCAGTGTTGATAATGTAGATAAGTTTAGGCCCATCAATGGCTATTAGTCAGGATGGGCAGGGATGGTGTCCTTAGCCTCTGTTTTCCAGAAGCTGGGAATGGGCAACAGGGGCTGGGTCACTTGATGATTACCTGTTCTGTTCATTCTCTCTGAAGCACCTGGCATTGGCCACTGTCAGAAGACAAGATACTGGGATGGATGGACCATTGGTCTGACCCAGTATGGCCATTCTTATGCTCTAAGTACATATTTATAAGGTGCCCACCGCTTTGGTATCTGGGAATGTGGAAAACTAGTGAAGTTACTTGCTTTATTCACTCAAACTAAATCTTCAATATAGAGTTCTCTGCAAATTACTTACTTTTTTGTACAAAAGATCATGTGAATCTTCTATTCAGACAAGAGGAGGAGATGGGAATTATAGTAAGGTAAGAGAATATAAAGCCAATCATCTTTTTCAATAGAAGGAGCCTTGATAATCTGACCTTTTTCTTCTTCTTTTGCAGTTAGCTGAGGGATTGAAGTTGACTCTTGACACCATATTTGTACCAAACACAGGGTAAATATCCTACTTCAATTTTGTGTAGAGATTCCTGGAATTGGATTAAACAGATTTGTTAAATTTTTCAAATGAAAAGTTAATTGTCTGACTTCAGTGGCAGTGATAAATGAGCATCATCATATTCCAGTATCCCAACAGGTAGGCGATCTGGATAAAAATAAAGAACTTTTTATTCTGCAGTTCTTGGTAGAATATTTGTAAGGACACAGCTAATATCAGGTTTATAATAATATATTTGATGAAAGATTCCTCTCAAAATTGTCATTTCCCCTCCATCTAAAAATGTGTAATAAATAAAAATACTAAGAAATGGTACTTCTATACCTCTAACATTGGAGATTGTGTGAAAGTAGAAAAGTGTCACTGATAGTAGTAGTAGTATTTATTATTTGTGTTATCATAGCACCTACCCTGTTTCCCCGAAAATAAGACATCCTCCGAAAATAAGGCCTACTTACAGTTTTGCCTCTCGTTGTAATATAAGGCATCCCCCCGATAATAAGACCTCCCCGATAATAAGGCATCCACCGATAAGGCATTTTTCATTTCTGAAAAATAAGACATCCCCTGAAAATAAGACCTAGCGCATCTTTGGGAGCAAAAATTAATATAAGACACTGTCTTATTTTCGGGGAAACAGGGTAGGAGCTCAAGTTCTGGACCATGACCCCACTATGCTAGGTGCTGTGCGCAGACAGAACAATAAGGCAGTCTCTGCCTCAAAGAGCTTAGAATCTAAATATAAGGCAAGAGATAACAGATACAGATAACAGAATACAAGGAAACAGTGAGACAATATTAGTCAGCATGATCAGCCGTGGTATCAGTGCACCACCAGTTTAACCATTGTCAGGGTTTTTTTTGTTGTTTGTAGGCACCACAGTAAAGGAGAGTTTGAAGGAGGATAATGAGTTAGCGTTGCTGATGTTTATGGGGAGCTCCACTGAATCATGAGAGGCAGCATGGGAGAAAGCACAAAGGTGATTGTTTGAAAGTTTAACAAGTGGGTGACAGAGGCTAGCATCATGGGCCATTTGGAGACGGGAGTTGACATCTCAGTAGCAAATAAGAGATAAGGATGGTGGGGGTAGGCTGCAAAAGGGCCTTGAAAGTGAAGACAAGCAAGTGAAGTTTGATGTGACAGATAAGGGTGAGCCACTAGATGGAGTTAAAGAGAGAGGTGACATGGTAAAAGTGGTGAGCTAGGAAGCATTCTAATTGGATGTGGGTGGGGCAAAATTGTATTTGCAAGAAAGAAGGAGGTTGCAGTAATTGTGATATGAGACTGAGAGCTTGGATGAGCTTTTTACTTAGTGGGTGGTTAGGGAAAGGCCATATCTTAGATGTTGTGGCAAGAATCGTCAAGATTTAGACACAACCTGGATATAAGGACCTAGAGAGAGGTCCAAGTCAAAGATGATGCCCAGGTTACAGGCCTGAGTGACAAGCCAGGATGCTGCTGTTGTCCACAGTGATAGAGAAAGGAGGCTTCTTGTAGGAAAGGGCTTTGGGGGAGAGGGAAGATTAGGAGCTGTGTTTTAGTCATGTTGAACTTGAGCTGATGGCTAGACATCCACAAGGAGATCTCCGAGAGACAGGCTGAGACTTTTTTGTTTGGAGAAAAGGAGCTGGGTCTGGAGGAAGATCTGTAAGTTGTCAGCATAGAGATAGAAGTTGAATTTGTGTTTGCGGCTAAGATGACCCAGATATAAGGTGTAGAGAAAAAAGAGATGAGGAATGGGGACAGAACCCCACACACAGTTGGAGGGGGGATGAGGAAGATCCTCCTCAGGGTACACTGAAGGAGCAATTAGAGATGTAGGAAGAGACCCGTAAGAGGACAATCACGGAAGCCAAGGGAGGACAAGATTCAGAGAAAAGGAGGATTAATCACTTTTTGCAGATGTTAAGCGCTTGAGCTATTGTGAAGTTAAGGCAAGTCTACATTACAAAATTCAGTCGACTTAAGTCGATCTCTAGCCACTGCAGTAGCTTGATTGTGCATCTCCACGCTACTCTCCTTGTGTCAGCAGAGCGCGTTCTCACTAGCAGTGCACCTTGGGTAGCTTTCCCACTGTGCAACTTGCCACCATCTAGTGAAGGGTGTTATGGGAAGGGTTTGCAATGCCTCATGGGGGCAAAACATTCTCCTGAGGGTGTCTGGGAACTCGAACATCCCATGATGTATTTTTCTCTTTCCTCTAATTTCATCTACATCCCACAATATTTCACACCTGTTTTCAAAAGCCTAGTGTACCTGAGAGTATGCCATCTCTAGAGAAGCATGGGTCCCGCACAGCTCTGCACTGTTGCAAACTCAATGCGCCTAATCCTGCAGTATTTTCAGAGGAGCCATCAGATGGAATATGACAATTCCTTTCAAGTAGCCCTGCTGGAAGCCAGGGTGGAGAGCTCTGGTCCCAAGAAACAAGTACTGATTGGTGGGATTGCATCATTACGCAGGTATGGGATTATGAGCAGTGGCTGCAAAACTTTTGAATGCGCAAGGCCACTTTTCTGGAACTGTCTGCGAAGCTCACTCCAGCCCTGCAGCTCACTGACCCACCAAACTGAGAGCTGCACTGACAGTGGATAAGCGAGTGGCGATTGCTGTGTGGAAGCTTGCAATGCCTAACTCTACCAATCAGTCGGGAATCATTTTGGAGTTGGGAAATCCAGTATGGGGGTTACTGTGATCCAAGTATGCAGGGCCATTAATCATCACCTGCTGAGGAGGACTGACTGGGGGCAATGTGCAGGAGATCCTGGATGGTTCTGCTGCAGTGAGGTTCCCTAACTGTATTGGGGTGATAGATGGCACGCATATCCCTATCTTGGCGCTGGACTGCTTTCCCATAGAGTATCTAAACTATAAGGGCTACTTTTCTATGGTGTTGCAAATGCTGGTGGATCACCAGGGACATTTTACCAACACAGGATGGTCTAGAAAGGTGCATGATGCACATATCTAAGAACACAGGCCTGTTTGGAAGGCTGCAAGCAGGAACTTTCTTTGCAGACCACAAAATCACCATTGGAGATGTTGAAATGCCAATAGTGATCGTGGGAGACCCAGCCTACCCCTTACTCCTGTGGCTCATGAAGCCGTATACCGGACACCTGGATAGCAGCAAGGAACACTTCAATGACAGACTCACCAGGTGGAGAATGATTATTGAATGTGCCTTTGACTGATTGAAGGGGCACTTGAGAAGTTGACTCAGTAGGTTAGACGTCAGTGAAAAAAATATCCCCATGGTTATAGCTGCCTGCTGTGCACCTCATAATATCTGTGAAGCAAAGGGGGGAAGTTTTTTTTTCCCCTGGTGTGGAAAGGTGGATGGTCTGGTGGCTGATTTTGAGCAGCCAGATATCAGGGCTATAAGAAGAGCTCAACATGGAGCTATGCGGCTCAGGGAGGCTTTGAAAGACCATTTTAATAATGACCCACAGTAATGCGTGCTGCTTTTTGTTTGACTGTGTTTTTGGCACTGGTCTGAACTGCGCTGTAAGTGCTGTGTGTGTAGTAGTGTGACCTTGCAAATGCACTTCTTTCTATGATCTCAGTGATTATTTCCCCCCCCCCCCCCCCGTTGAACCCTTACACCCCACTCTTCTCCCAGACCTGGGAAGAGAGCCCCGGAGTTATGAGCCCCAGCCACCTCTCCCCCAACCACTGGACCCCACTCCCTTGCCAGAGCCGGACGAGGTTCTGTCCCCTCAGCAACATGATCTGTGGGTGGGGTTGCACTGGGGATGCTGAGTGGGTACCTCTGGGTGGTCAGTGCTCATCTCCTCCTGCCAGGCATGGGGGCAGCATCCATGGCATCTCAGCTTCCCCAGGCACCTCTACAATGGGGCAGCCAGGGAGATAATGGGGGTACCACACTCCAGCCCCTAGCCCTACCACTAGGACTGCCAGTGCTGGGGGGGATGCTTGATGCTATGCTCCTCACAGGGATTGGGCTGAGACTCAGCAACTCATTCCACAGAGAGGGTGGGGGCTAGTGGTTAAATGAGGGAGGGGCTGGGAGCCACGACTCCTTGGTTCTATCCCCAGCTCTAGCTATGCTATGACTCCTTGTGTAACTGCTTTACATCCCTCCCCTTCCGTGCCTCAGTTTCTCTATTGGCCTCTACCTCTTTTCCCCCATGCTTCGAACTAATAAAGATTAATTAAGCTTCCAAAACTGGTCTCTGAATTATTGCACAAACCAAACAATTATATGTACGACAGAGGTATACTGTAGAAATACAGGGGAATGAACTTGAGGGAGAAAAGCATATTCATTTTCCTTTTTAAAAACACTTACACTGACCTTGTCTGTCACACATCGTTGTGTGTGAAGCTGTGATTCTGTCCCCTCCCACGGGGTGGAGTGGTAGGGATAGGTCACTTGCCGCTGATGCCACATGGAAGTGTCCGTGTGTGTGGGGCGGAGAAGGGTAGTGCTGGAAGACCGTTCTGGACAGGCTGCAGAGGGAGGTGACCTCGAAGATGATGTAGATCAACCAGATTCCTCAGCATGTCTGATTGCTCCTTCAGAAGAGCTATCGTCTCCTGCTGTGTGTCACTTATTCTCCTGAGCTCTTCTCCTGTCATGAATGTCCATGTCCATTTCTGTGTGAGAGTGATCCTCCACGCCCTCTGGCTCACTGTCTGCTGATCCAGAGGCTTGCATGATATTTACAAACATGTCATCCTGGGTTCGTTCTTCTCTTTATCTGGCTCAGCCTCTCCACTAATGTAAAGGGAGGTGAAGGCCACATTTGCAGCTGCAAAACACACAATGGACAGAGGTACTATTGCGAGTACATAGACTAGATATATGAGAAAATTGCTGTATTGCACAAATTCAGAGGAGTGATTTCAAGTGTGAAGCAGTACATTTTCATTGTGGCCAGGTACTTATTGAGCATGTTGAACAGAATACTGGTGCCATTTTCCACAAGCTGCAGTGACTTTAGCTGATATCTCACTCCTGAAGGTAACGGAGGCGGAAAGGGAACAGCTGCTGCATGCATCAGGCTACAGACCGGGTCCTTATGCTGCTAGCCTGTGCTGAATGATGCCTTGCAAGTGAATAGATAAGTGGCATGGGAACATGTCCTATTGCGGTGGAAGAAATAAGGCAGCCCTCCCCAGAAATCTTCGGCAATGGATTACAAAGTACCTGCAGGAAAGTTTCCTTTCAGATCTCTGTGGAGGATTTACATGACATCCCTGTGCACATAAACTTTTGCAGGGTCCGTTCTGCCTAGCTGTGCCAGGCAATGAGAAGCAGATAGCCAGTGGAGGTAGAGTGGCTATTTCACTACCTCTTGTAACACGAATAAAAATTAGTACATGAGAAATGTGCCCCTGGAATATCAGTGCTACTTACTGGATGTTCCTTCACCGGTATCACGCTTGCTCATGCTGCAACTTGCTGGACTGCTCTGGAGTTATAAACAGCTCTTGGCTCGCCAGGACAGTGGATTCCCCACTCATCTGTGCTCCATTGTCATCCTCCTCTTCCTCATCCAACATCTCTCTCTCGGTGTTGTCTGCAGTGACTACGACTTGTTCAATGTATCCATGGGGCATTTGGGGATAGTTGTGGGGTCGCTGCAACGGATAGCATGTAGCTCCTTGTAAAAGCGGTATGTCTGCAGTGCCGCATCACAGTGACTGTTTGCCTCCCTTGCCTTCAGATTGCCTGACACAGCTCCTTGGCTTTCACATGGCACTGCTGCCAGATCTCTCTTGTAACCATTCCCTTCCATGCCCTGAGAGATCTGCTCATAGATGTCCATGTTTCTACAGCTGGATCGCAGCTGTGCCTGCACAGCCTCTTCTCCCCACAGACCCAGAAGATCCATCATTTCCTATGTACTCCAGGCAGGAGCACATTTGGAGCATGTGGCCAGCATGCTCAGCTGGGCAGTTGCCAGGGGAGCTGTCCACATCGACCAAACGAAATGAAAATTCAGAATTTCACGGTCCTTTAACGGGAGGTGCTTGTTCCTACATACCTCACTGCTGGGCAGTGGAGTTGAAAACCGTGACCAGAGTGGTGACATGGAGCATTGTGGGACACCTTCTGGAGGCCACTTAAGTTGACATAAGCCATGTAGTATGTACACTGCCATTGTGTCAACCTAACTACGTTGACTTAAGCACTACACCTCTCATGCAGGTGGAGTTAAGTCGATGTAATAGGTGAGTTATGTTGGGAGGGACCTTAGTGTAGACCAGGGGTAGGCAACCTATGGCACGCATGCTGATTTTCAGTGGTACTCGCACTGCCCAGGTCGTGGACACCGGTCCGGGCGGCTCTGCATTTTAATTTAATTTTAAATGAAGTTTCTTAAACATTTAAAAACCTTATTTACTTTACATACAATAATAGTTTAGTTTTTCTATAAGTCTATAGTAGATGAGACTCGGCACACCACTTCTGAAAGGTTGCCAACCCTTGATGTTGCCGCTGACATTATTTTTTATTTTTAATTATTAGGTCGATGTAAGCTGCCTTACATCAACCTAACTCTGTAGTGTAGACCAGGCCTAAGATTGTAGCATCATGTTTTCTGCTTTAGGTGCAAAAGTGCTAATAATTAGGGCCCTCCCAAATTCATGGTCCATTTTTGTAAATGTCAGTCTTAGCATTTTTTAAATCTTGAATTTCACAGTTTCAGATATTTAAATCTTAAATTTTCACAGTGTTGTAACAAACCATGAATGTGTTTTTAAAATGGGAAAATATAAATATGTAAATCCCTTAAATCAGTGTTTCTCAAACTTGGGGGTCCTGGCCCAAGGGGGGGTTGCAAGGCTATTGTAAGGGGGGTCGTGGTATTGTCCCTCTTACTTCTGTGTTGCCTTCAGAGCTGGGTGGCTGGACGCTAGCAGCTGCTGGCTGGGTGCCCCGCTCTGAAGGCAGCAGAAATAAGGGTGGCATGGTATGGTATTGCCACCCTTCTGTGGTGCTGCTGGCAGTGGCGCTGTCTTCACAGATGGGTGCCCGGCCAGCTGCCGCTGCTCTCCGGCCACCCTGCTGTGAAGGTAGCACCACTGACAGCAGCAGCACAGAAGGGTAGCAATACCATACCATGTCACCTTATTTCTGCGCTGCAGCTGCCGTTCTTTGCCAGAAGCAGTGGACCATTCAGAGCGAGGCACCTGGCCAGCAGCTGCTGCTTGATGGCTGTCCAGCTCCGAAGGCAGCACCACTGCCAGCAAAAACACAGAAAGGTGGCAATACTATACCATGCCACCCTTGTTTCTGTGCTGCTGCTGGCAGCAGTGCTGCCTTCAGAGCTGGGTGCCCAGCCAGCAGCCCCACTCTCCAGCTGCCCAGTTCTGAAGGCAACGCAGAAGTTAGGGCATGACTACCGTGACACACACCACCCCCCCCGCCCTACAACAAGCTTGCAACCCCATTTTGAGTTGGGACCTCCAGTTTGAGAAACATTGTGTATTTTTACCCTATACTAAAAATATACAAAAGTACAGAAGACCAGTTTTCACAATCCGTGGCATGTTTTTCTTGGCTGTGAATTTGGTAGGGCCCCACTAATAATCCTTAGAACTGGTAACCAGTAACAGTGCTGACGAACTGAGGAAAATGGCATTAGGACTAAAATGGATATATTCATTCTCTCTCTCATATATATTTTTATATATATTTAATTCATTCAGATGTTTAAAATACACTTGTAGGTACTTAGGTCTGTGCATCTATCCTATAAATTAATAATGACAACATACACGGACAAAACTGCTTGTAAATATATCTATCTCAGCCCCCACCCTTCACAAATTCGAAGGCATATGAAGTATTAAGTGCTCTGTGCAGACATCATAAATACTATGTAGCTGGCCCATGCTAGGCTGGGTAAAACAAAATGTTTCTCTCCACAGAAAGAAGAGTGGGAAATTGAAGACCTCTTACAAACGGGAGTACGTAAACCTAGGCTGCAACATTGACGTTGACCTTTCTGGACCAACCATCCATGGCTGGGCTGTGTTGGGCTATGAAGGCTGGCTTGCTGGTTATCAGATGGCTTTTGATACAGCCAAGTCTAAACTATCACAGAATAACTTTGCATTAGGATACAAGGCAGGAGACTTCCAACTACACACTAATGTGTGAGTATATACCACAGGAGCTAGGCTAGATTATGCCAGGCAAACTGTGTGGCTAACTGCATCAGATGTGTACTGGGTGGAGAAAAGGAGGACACTGATTTCAGACTGAGATTTGAAAGGCTTTTTACATACCTTATTTTCATCCCCAAGAGACAGTTACAGGAGGGTCACTGCCCAATTTGCTATCTTTATCATCAGGGTAATTCTGTTCCCCTAAATTTGGTATTGGAAAAGACATTTTGGAATTAAGGTAGTTTTTTAATGAGGGTATGTTTAGGATAACTGGGGGATTTAAGTTAGTAAACATAATTTTGACTGCTGGTTTGTGTCACTCTTACTGAAGGAATTTGAATCCCAGGTAAATTGCCCATTTCCACATACTAACATACTAAAATGTCAACTGGGAGGATTGGGATTAATGCAGCATTACTACCTTTTTCTCTCTTAGATGGTGCTAGACCATGTCAGCCTTCTATGTGGAAGTAGACATTTAACATTTCCATCTGGGAGGAGACTTAAGTACCCCCAGTGTTGGGTGTCGTGATACTTGCCTAGCCACATGTACTTAAGAGGCAGTGTTTTTTGGGGGGGAATTGTCTGCCTTTCCCCATTTTCAGTCTCCTTACCAAAGCTGAGTTATATTGACTTATTTTAGCCAACAAGTGTTGCATGTAGCTCCCTCTGAACCCATTGGTTTATGCTCTGCATGGAATTGCTTCCCTCCCTACTTCTAGCCTCGGAAGGAAAAGCTGAACTCTCTTCTGTCAAAATTTCAAACCTTTTAGTGCAATGTCTTAGTTCCTGGAAAGCTCCCTCATTCCCCAAGCTAAACCCAGCTCTTGGTGAAGAATCTACAAAGCGCAGGTGAAGTGTCCGGCCAGGGAATGAATAAACATGGATCTGGCTGAGAGAAGCATGGGATTGAATATGCCCACAGGGTTAGGGTTATCCTCAGGTTTATTTGGGAAGTGGTGGTAGGAACTTACTTTGTTGGAAAGACGGTGAGAGGGAAAGATGAGACTTCATAGTGATCAGAGGGTTAAACACCAGCAAACAGGAGAGATCTTCACACACTCTTTTTATCTGTTACAAACAGGAATGATGGCACTGAATTTGGTGGGTCAATCTATCAGAAGGTTAACGATAAAGTTGAGACATCAGTAAATCTTGCTTGGACTGCTGGCAGTAACAATACCCGTTTTGGCATTGCCACTAAGTATCAGCTGGATGAAAATACTTCCATTGCGGTAAGTATTTCACCAGATTAGCATTGAAAGCACAACTGAAGTTTGCTTAAATGCTGTAAACTGATGGCACAGGGTGGTTATTGTTTAAACCTATGGCACCTTGTGTTGTTATGCTGTCCCTTTTCAGTTATTGGTGTATGGAGAATGTATGTTGTAGACTGTTGGTGAATTATGGAATATACTTAAGCCTCATTCTG